TTAAAGGACCTTAAGCCTTCATTTCCTCCTCCCTTATCATCTTGACACTCTAAGAGAAACACTAAGCAAGTTGTATTCACAGAGAGAGAGAGAGAGAGAGAGAGTAAGTGAGAGAGAGAGAGAGAGAGAAAGGCTAAGATTTGTGTGTTCTAGCGCACTTTTGGAAGGGGATTGAAGAAAAAAATTGCTTGGAATGAGGAGAAGCCTTTGGATCCAGTGTCTTTTCAGTACTAGCTGCCATTTGGAGGTAAAAGGCTTTCACCTTGATCATTGTTTTATTAGATCTCATAACTAGGTAGTTTATGGTCATTTCCATCCTTTCCTTGGGTCCTTAAGTTGTTTAAGCTTGCTATGGAGTTGAGACCCCAGATCTGGATAATATGAGGTCCCTTGGGCCAAAAGATTCAGGCTTTATCAAGCTATTAGCCAGCTTTCATGCATCAAACCCTCTATAGAGATTATTTTAGCATTTTGAGCCCTAGATGCCATGCATGGACATAAAGCTTGCAGCTTTACGTGATACTTCAGGCTTAGAAGGCTAGATATAGAGTATGAAGCCTTAGTTCTGCTTAAAAACGTCTGAATGAGAGAATGGACTGAAAGGACTCGACGAGTTGGCTAGGGTTTTCCCTAATAGTCTGAACGTGTTACAACTCGGCGACTTGGTGAGACAACTTGACGAGTTTAGTTGTATTTTCCCGATACTCCATAGAAAATGAAGGAACACGACGAGTCGCATAGATGCGCTCGACGAGTTGGGTCAACATGGACCGTTGACTCAAGTGTTGACTTTCGTTGACTTTTAGGGTTTGGTCAAGACATGAATTATGGAGACCATGGAGGGGTAAAATGGTCTTTCACCCTTTCCCGAGAGTTAGAGAAGGGGTTAGCTTAACTTTTTAGGGATGTGGTTATAAGTGTTAATTAGAGATGATTATGATATGTAGGCAGAATCTAGACCGTTCGTGGGGTACGACACCTACTTGCTTGCTTATGAGGTGAGTCTTCTCACTATACTTACCTCAGTGGTAATACTATGTGAACGGAGGGTCTTATGTGCTTATACTTAGTTATATGATATTATGCATCTTGTCTTTGTGTTTTATGCTATATATGTTATTATGTGTCTTATTGAGTTAGGACCGTAGGGTCCAAACCGAGTTGTGAAACCGGAGGGTCTTCACTGAGATACAGGACCGAAGGGTCCAACCTGAGCTGTGAGACTAGAGGGTCTAACCTGAGCTGTGAGACCGAAGGGTCTTCACTGAGACACATGACTACAGGGTCCATACCGAGACGCATGGTTGGGGGGTCAATGCCGAGCTATATCCATGAGAGGCTTATTATTTTTGTATGTGGTATTTTAGAGAACCCACTAAGCTTCGTGCTTACCATGTTGTGTGATATGTGTTTCAGGTACCTCTCAGGATCGCGGGAAGGCGTCGGCGTGATTGTACACACCAATTATAGATTATGTTTTTGAGGATTCTGGCATATTATCAGACTGCCTTTTGTTTTTACAACTTATACATTTTGTGGTTTGAGAAATGTGATATTGGGTTTTATGTGATTTTAAAAATGAAAATTTTATTTGAAAATTTTAGAGTGTTACACCTTCAATAGGCAAGAAGCATATCTAACATTCGCCTCCTCAGGCAAAAACTCGTATTGAACGCATTATCCATATCTGCTAACCACCTTCTACATGCAACAGGGTCTCTTTCCCCATAGAATGCAGGAGCTCCACAAGCACGGAACTCATAGAAAGAAAGAGTGCGAGCTCCAACGATAGCCATATCCTTAGCACAGAACGCTCCCAAGCGTTCATCCAAGATCTTCAAAAACCCCTCCTTAACCGAACCAAAGATCAAAGGAGTCTTCTCCAAAACACCGCGGGTAATCTCCGACGAGATGAATTCCCGTATCTGCTCGCTAATTGGCTCAGTACCCTAACCTGATGATATGAAGATTCGATGTTCTAAAGTTTTGAAAATACAGATGATTATGGTAATGAACTCAACTGATGAGCTGTTTGATCTTAAAATCAATTTGAAGAAGTGGGATTTGGTGTTTATGATGTGCTGGGTTCTGAATGGTTAATTTAACTCACAGGTTGTGTCATACGAGCGAATGAAATCGTGACTGGAACTCAATGGAATGAAATCGTGTTTGTAAGAGTGTTCTTGTGAGTCAAACTAAAAAGGTTAAAATTTGAATTATTGATCTGTGAACGGTGTAATCGGATTTGAAGTATAGATATCAGAAGCGCAACTTTCATCTGTCACCGGGAATTGAACAGATGTTCTTACGGGTCAATGGGAAAGTCAAAATTATGTTACATGCGAATGTTCGGCTCGGAATTGGTGGTGTGTTTGATCGATTTGAACGAATGGGTTCGCTGTAGGATACTTGACTTATCTCAGATTCTTAATTGGGGGTCGACGGATGCAGCCTCCTAAGGTGTGCCACGGAGTGCGAGTATGCCTCCAGCGGTGGCAGTGGTCGTTGTTTCTTGGAGTTGACTTTCGGAATTGAGATGGAATGATAACGGGGGTTGGGGGTTGGAGGAGAGTAAGACAAAGAAGAAGCAATGAGAAAGAAAGAAAGAAATAAATGATGAATGCTATTTTGAGGGGAAGTGATGATAATGATGATGGATTAGACATGGTTGTTCTCCCTCAATTTCATGTTCTCCTGTTCGTATACATTAGGTGGCATCTGACCTGGTAAATGAGTTAGCTTTTTTTAATCATGTGTACAAGATAATTGGCTGATTGTGAAAGGGGTGACCGGGTGACCCTTTCACTTTCTAGAAAATATCTTTAAAAGCTAGTAAAAAGAAAATTCATGTCCTTATAAAGCCAAAAAATAACAATAAGGACCTTTTAAACCAAAATGTGAAAGTTTGTGGGATTACAGTAACATTTTCCCTAATAATAATAATAATAATAATAATAATAATAATAATAATAATAATAATAATAATAACAACTTAGAGAAAGAAAAATGAAAAACAGTGGTGGTGATTTCAAAATTTTAGAGAACACAATAAATTAAATTTTACAAAGGGAAACATCCATATACAAAATTGTCTAGCACTTACTTTTTTCAAATCTCTTGTGAATGTAGAAACCCAACAAGATACCCGATTTAACCGGCTAGTCATGAATAATAGGGATATTGACCCAAATTGGAGGTTAATAAGAAGATCACTAAAATGAGCCACATAGTTTGTTAGAATACTAAAAAAGTTATATTTTGAAAATAGTTTTTAATCACTATTTTTTTTAAAAAAAATCTGAAAACTTATATTTACAAAATTATTCATATTTTTGAAAACTAAGTCCTTTTTTTTTCAATATTAGGTAGCGGATTATAGTGTGATATTTTGTAAATTATTAATCATTTGGGAGGATAACCTACTTTTTTCTAGATACTCATTTGACCAGTTTTTTGTACAAAATATTCCAATAAACACAATTTGTTTGTTTAGAACACACAGGGTATTGCAAGTTGCTCCGTTATTTGGCATCTAGGTTACGATAGTTTAATGGTTAACGAGTTGGAAGTGTAACCATGTTTTTAATCACATTATTAAATTGATCATATATGTTTCATAAACACTAAATTTACAGAGAGTAGTCCATATTGCCGATTTGTTCTAAATTTTTATTTGATTAGTCTTAGTGAGATGATAATTTACTCTTTTATTTGGTTATTATATTATTATATTTTATTTTATTTTATATTATTTCACTTTCATTGTTTTTTTGTCAAAGTATGATGATGATACTAAGTGTTAAAAAATATTTCTAAATAGTAGTGTCTAGATTTAAAAAATAAAATAATAATAAGTATGCAGAAATCTATATGTTTATATGAGTCGACACTAAATGACCGGCCCAATATTTTTACGTGTAGATGTCAAACTATTATTTATTTATTTATCAGCCAAATTACGAAGATTCAAGGTTCTTCACAAAATAAAATGGAAATTGTTCAATTAGACAATACTGATTTAGATATTATAATTTTTTGATTGGCAAATTGAATTATTATTCTAGACTTTAGATTGATTTTAGTTTGGTAATATAAGAACAGGATCGCAAAGAAAAAAAATGTTTTATTTATTATTGTTATGAATATTTAATCATGTATTACTTTACCAAATTACTTTTTGAGATAGATTAGAAAGTTCACGTCTCCTCCCTTTCCAACTCACCAATAAAAAAGTTTAATATGTACTTAAAAGTTTTTTATCTTTAAAATATTAAATTACACGATAATTTATATATATTGATCAACAATTTGTTTTTGTTACTTAAAAGTTGACCTATATTGAAATTATATATTTTAGAGTAAATTACACAAATTGTCCCTATGGTTTGAGATAACTTACACGTTTGGTCTTTTACTTATTTTTTAACTCGGAAAATCTTTATTGTTTGTTTTCATTATGGGCTTGATCCCTAATTGATTGAGTGGCAGACCACCTAAAAAAGAATATTTATTGTGAGTCATATCCTGACATAAGAAGACCGACCTGAGCAATGCTTGAAATAGCAATCCATAAAAAATAAAATTAAAAATTAAAAAAAAAACATCGATACTGAGATCAGCTGGAACAAGGTGATAACTAAAAAAAATTACCAAATAACTTAATCAAATGGATATAACTGCTATAAATGATCCAATACTGAATAAACAAATATCTCCTCCAGATTGAAAAAGATTCTCTTTGAAAAGTAATATGGTACCATCTGCTAGAGCTTTGAGAATTCTCAAAGATCCTGCATATTCAGGACTGTTTGTTTTTGTTACGCGTTTGGTTTCTGTGTTACTTAAAAAAATACTATTATTTAAATAGAAAAAAAATGATGGGGTTGGTAAGATAAGGTGATAGGGATAGGGTTGAGGATGTGTTTATTTAAATAAGTTAAAAAATCAATGACAATAGTTTTTTAGGTAAGACACGGACTAAACACGTAACAAAATCAAACGGTAGAGACCTTCCGAGTTAAAAAAATAAGTTAGAGATCATACATGTAAATTACCCTAAACCATAGGGACCATTCGTGTAATTTACTCTATATTTTATAGAATGTTCCGGCTCTAGTAAATAGAGTTATAGAAACACGGATCTAACTGAATTGTAATTGGATTGGTTGGATTGGTTTTCAATTCAGTTTAAACTATTTGGATTCATGTTTTTAAAAACCTAAATCAATTCAGATTAGCTTGATCAGATTGAACCGATCCATCCAAACAAATACTCATCATTCCAAGACTTGCTGAAAAAACCGCAGTGAGGCAATCCATCGAACACTTTGTCTTCATGATCCAACCCAGACATATAACGTGCGAACTATGAGTCATCAAGAACAGGCAGAACTCATTTTGAATGGTCTTTTGTTAGTCTCCTCTTTTTGATATTACTACATATCTGGAATTAACATATATATGCCTGTACAGAGTCCACTTCTATTGTTGCCTTTCCTGAAACAACGAATCCAGCACTTGTAACTCTCAAATATCAATCCATACAACTGACTACAAACCTCATATACCTTTCAATCACACCCTTTCAGTACATGGGTTTTTCATATGTTCGGAAATATCTGAATGCAGCCCATTTAAATTGTTTCTGGATTCGGAATCAGAAACTGCTCCAGGAATTCCTCTTTCCTTTTCAAATGACTCTTCTTTCCCTTGAAAAAACTGACTGGTATCTTTAACAATTTGTTTTTCAGAATTCCCATGGGCCACCTTGGAATCGGAATGTGAATCAGAGTCGTTTCCTGGGTGTTGGGGTTTGGGGAGTAGTTGGTGCAATTGACATGGGACATCAGACGGAATGGGACCATGGATTTGTCCTGGAAGTGGATTAGTTCCATGGCCATTTGGCACATCAATTTGATCGACTTTGGAATTGGAATGTGAATGAGATTCCTTTCCTGGCTGTTGGAGTTTGGGTTCATGTGATTTGAATGGGACACCATCATTAGAATTGGAATAAGATTTTTCCTTACTGGGAAGTTGGAGTTTAACGGGTTCACTAAAAGAAGCAGCAGGGACTACTTGTTCATGTAAAGAATCATGAACTCGGGGATTGCCATTCTGCACATCAATTTCATCAGATTCCTTTCCTGGAAGCTGAAGTTGAGGAGGATAGATGATGCTGGCGTGTAAAGAACAACCATCATCCAAAGGAACACCAGATTCTTGACAACCATTTTTCACCACGTCATCTACTAGAACTTCCATGATGCTGCTACCTACAAATTACAATAACAAAAATAATAATAATAATAATAATTATTATAATAATAACTAAGTCGGGTTGGAAGGAATGGAATGACAGAATCAGTGATTAGTCATTACATGAATGCAACCCACACGAATTGTTGGGGACTTGGGATTATTTTTTTTATAACTCCAAATAAGATTATAATAAGTAATAAATAAAAAGTCTAGCTATGTTTTTATAAATAAAATTGTAGTTTTAACTATCATCGTGAGATTATTTTTTTAAAATTGTAGTTTTAAGATTTATTGTAATGTATCACCCCATTCCATAATGAAAAAAAAAAAAAAAACCCGTCTAAGGAATGAAATTAACAAAATAGAAGGAATCACATTCCTTCCAAAATCATCCATTCAATTCCTTCAAACAAAGGAAACAGTATCTTGTCATTCCAATGAAATAAACAATTCCATTTCTTCCTTGATTCCATCATATCAACTACTACCTAAATGAATATAATATAGAGAATCAAACAGGAAAAACTACAAAACTTTGAAGTCTTGGTAAAATTACCTTTGGGATCAGTTTCAATTTTATTCTGCATAGCAATTTCATTGGCTTTGGACTTGGAATGTAAATGGATGGAAACAGATTCCATTCCAGGTTCACTGGAAGGAGCAGCAGTGATTTTGTGCGGAATCTCAGAAGAAACAATATTATCATGTGAACCGGAATCAGTAGTTTTGGTGTCGGTATCATCAAAAGGAACTCCGGATTCTGTAATGGCAGTTTTGTCATTAACATTAGAAGAAATCAACTCATGTTTTATGGAGAAGGCATCTACTTCCATGGATGGAGTGGAAATGACAGAGTAATGCACCCCACTGAAATCGTTTGTGTTTATGTTTGTGGCTTTGGAATCAGAAACTGCTCCAAGAGTTCCTCTTTCTTTTTCCTTTCTCCTATTCATTTCACTTCCACATGAACCTTGTATGGGATCAGTATTATTGTCATTCTGCACATCAATTTCATGGACTTTGGAATCAGAATGTGAATGGATGGAATCAGATTCCTTAACTGGCAGTTGAGGTTCAGGTTCACAAGAGCTCTCATCTTTAACAGGTGAATTGAGGGGAAGAGTCTTCTTGCTTGTATCTAAGGAACAAACATCATCCAAAGAAACAACACATTCTTGAGAACAGGAATCAATGGTAGCAGTTTTGTCACTAAACTCTGCCACATTAGAAGGAGCCAATTCTGATTTTGTGGCCACAGCACTATGGTCATCTAATTCAATAGTATTATTGTTGCCTACATTAACAAAAAAATATATAATCAATAGTATTATCTCTGATGGAACTTTTTAAATTTAAAAATAAAACAATTATACATAATAAGAGCTCACAGAAATACCAAATAAGATTATAATGAAAAAGGAATTGAATGACGAAGGGATGGAATGAGGCATTACATTCCACGATCATGTTTAGTTGGCCTAAAGGAAAGGAAAGAATTTTTTATAGTATATGTAAATACAAGGTATAAATTTAACTCTATCCTATTCCTATACACTATATAATTATAATTAGTACATTTTTAATTTACAAATAAACAAATTTAACATAATAAAACTTAATTAAACCTCGGACAAGAGTAAAAAGAAAATGTGCTCTGGTTATTTTTATGAAATATAATTGTAGTTGAACTAACATGACAATTTTTTTAAACAATATTTGCCATTCATGATGGAACAAAAAAAAAAAAAAAAACAAAGGAATGAAACACGAAGAAATGGACGGAATGACATTCCTTCAAGAACGGTCCACTCCATTCCATAAAATATTTTCATTCCAATGGAATAAAGCAATTCCATCATACCAAACACTACCTACATGAATAGAATTTCAAATGAAAGAGGAAAAACTGCAAAAAGCTAGTGTTGAACGATCATCTTACCTACATCCATGGAAGAAAAAGATTCCTTGTTTGAGAGTTGTATGGGATGATGTGGATTCGTTTGAATTGAGGATTTGGAGTTGGAATGTGAATCAGACTCCATTCCAAGAAGTTGGTGTTGGGGTTCATCTTTAACTGGGGAACTGATGAGATGAGTCTCCAAATCCAATGTAAGCTCCACCATATTTTTGGACAAGTCACTATGGTCATCCACATCAGCAGTGTCGTTGTTACCTACAACTACAAAAATAAATTAATAATAATAATAATAATTGGTTGGATGGATGAAACGAATGGAATGGAATGGAGCCTACTCAAATCAGGGATTACTCTTTCCTTTTCCTTTCTATTCCTTTCACTTCCACATGAACCCTCCTTAGGATTAGTTCCATTGCCATTCTGCAACACACCAATTCCTTCGATTTTGGAATCAGATGAGTGTTGTAGTTTATGTGACTGTGATTCGCATGGAATATCAATATCATTATGTGAAGGATCAGGAAGTGGATCAGTTCCATTGCCATTCTGATTCTGCACATCAATTCCGTTGACTTTGGAACTGGAATCAGATTGCAGTTGGAGTGGATGAGGATCGATGGGAAGAGTCTCCTTGCTCATAGGAAAACCAGAATCTCTAGTGCCATTTTTATCTTTCTCACTTAACTCTGCAACATTAGCAGAAATCAACTCTGGTTTCTTGGACAAGGCACTAACAAGGCTCTTCTTACCTACAGTAACATAAAAAATAATTTAGTGTGTGTTTAGGTTAAGATGGAATGGGATTTAATACAATAACTAATAATGGCATTACAGAATACAGACTGGTTGGCCTATAGGAACAGACTGATTTTTCATATGAACTATTGATAGGATTAAACCTTATGTCCAATTCCTTATATAGTATTAGCTCTACTCTATACATGACATAATTATAATCAACGTATTTTTGATTTACGAAAAAGAGAAAATTAAACATAACAAAAGTCCATTAGAACACAAATAAGATCCTAATAACAAATACATTTCTACCTATATATATGGAAAACAGAAATGTAGTTCAATTTTAATCATAAAATATTATAAACGGATGTATAAAAAGAAAAAGGGTTATATTGTAATTTTTCATTCCATTCCATGATTCAATAATATGGAAGGGATCACATTCCTTCAAGAATGGTCATGGTTATTTTTTTATTTTATTTTATTTTTTCATTTTAATGGAACAAGCCATCCATTCCTTGTATAATTCCATGGCACAAAACACTATCCAAATGAATAGAATATGTATAATCAAAACGGGAAAAACCTTCAGGGATGGCATTTAGGGGAGGCTTTTGTAACATATCAGTCCTAGGAAACACCAACATATTCATAGACTTCAGTTCTTGTTTGTGTGATTCCTCCAATGGCTGGAAACCGAAAACATCAGTCCATGTATTCATGTGTTCAGCAACCGCAGGAATAATCAATTTATCTACTTGGAGAGCAGAAAGAGCCTGAAAAGGTTTTTAAAAAAAAAAAAAAAAAAAAACTTAACAAGTAGCTCAAAGGGAATGGTAATATACCTGGGTGAAATAGCAGTAATAAAGATATAATATGATATTCTGACCGATTCAATAGCTGATAATAGGCGACGACACATCCCTTGGCGTCTATATATATGACGTGTCCCAATAAATGGCATCTCTGCTAGTTGGGTTCCATGGAACCTAAGCATATAATAAACAACTCAAAAAAATACATAAATAAATAAATAATTGCAATCAACAGTTTCAGGCTAGCCTACCTACCTGATAGATGCAGCACAAACGACTTCCTCCTCCCTCTCCAGAATAGCTGTATAGAAGCCACTATAGTTCAACCGGCTAAGGTTTGATCTACAGGGTAATTACAAAATATCAACTTAATAGAATAAGTCATTACATTCTATGATCATGTTTCAATGCAATCAAAATTTTATATTGTATGTTTTTATTGTAAACACAATTTATAGCTTTAACTCTGTTTTATACATTAGTTAAATTGCAATTGATGAGTTTTTATTTACCGAAAAATAATAAAAGCTCATTAAAACCCAAATAAGATTTTAATAAGAAACATTCTAAGCTATTTTTAAGAAACAAAAGATGTAATTTAGTTAAAATCATGAAATTTAAAAAAATAAACGTGCCATTATAATTACATAAATAAAAATGGGTTATAGAGCAAATATTTTTAGCCATTTCATGAGGGAATGGGGAATAAAAACACATGTGCCTATAACAAAATGAAAAGAATCACATTGCTTCAAGAATGGTCCAATCAGACAACAAACAGCTTTTTCTAAATTCTAATTCCATTCCTTCTCCGATTCAATCATACCAAACAATGCCTTGGAGATTTTTTAATGCACCAATTTTGTTAACTTTCTTATACCCTTTTCCTGTTGATTTTCTAGACAAAAATGGTAAAACATACCCACAATTGAAGACTACATTACGAATTAAATTGATCCCACTTCTCTTGTCAGTAAAAGGCAAGAAACACTCATCCATCAATGACATGGCAACAGCCAGCATGGAATTGCATTCCATCCTTTCTCCCTCTGTCAATGAATCAGAATCGGAATCAGATCGATGAATAAGGGACCATGAGAACCCTGAATCCAGTTCATGCTTCACTCCAATAAGTTTCTGCAACGGAATGTATACCTGCAAAATTCAGATTTCAGATCATGATTCAAGAAAACAGGTAATACAAACCTATTTTCACTTCTTCTAACAACATAGCATTGTACTTTTCAACTTTTTTTTTCTAATTACAACAATTATACTATGTAAAATCTACCCAACTTGCATTCAAAATTGCTTCGTATTCAATCATTCAGTAGATTTTTCAATAATGCAATCTCTATGCTATAATAGAAAGAGATGAAAGTACAATACTACAATAAACAAATTGATACAAGTATGTTGCTATTTCTTGCATTTAGCCCATAAACAAAATATGCAACATTTAAATTAAATATCAAATAGCTTTAGCAACAAAATCTGAAGAAGATTTTTCTTATCTCTTATATAGGAGTATTTTAAAAAAATAAAATAAATAAACACCCTCCAACTAAACTACATTATTGAATACCTCATGGCACTTGTGTCCACAGAAAGACAAATCCAGAGAATTTGGTTCATGTGGCTTGACATCTATTCCTGGCCTGCATGATTCATGATCTGCAACATCAGAAAGTTGTCTTTCAAACAACAGTTCTAAATAATACAACAAACAAAAAAAAAAAAAAACTATTATTCTAAGAGAGGATCATCACATTTCTTGTAACAAAGGCAGCACGTATGAAGTGAAGCATCTTTTGTGCAATTCCCAGCAGCCATTTCACAGTATTTGCAGGAACAATTTGGACAGAGCCAATCACCTTCAGGAAGCATCTAAAATGAGAGGAAAGATGAGACATTGATATCTCTAAGGGTACAAAAGAGATTAAAATTTAGGAGTTTTACCTGTATGTCTAAACAGGTTTGGTGAAAAGTTGATGGACAACCATCACAACAGATCAAATCCCCACCATCCCCACATACACTACATGTATCATCATTAGGATCATCACCATCAACATCTACACTATAAAAACCCTTTTGCTCTAACTCCCCTAGTTTATTCCATGCATCAATCTGACATTGCATCAGGGATTTTCCAGACTCCAAAAACATGTTTGAAAACGGGTTGCAAAGTTTGCTTCCTGAATGTTGCTCAAACTTGACAACAGTTACAACCTTGCTACAACAACCACAATGGATCCCATCTTTTGTAATCCTTCCTTTTTGCAGTATCCGTGTCCTTCTAGCATTCATATATTCCACATGTTCATTCATATCCACCACTCCAGAGTCGATTAACCACCCAAGAATGGTCCTTTTTCCTGAATAGGGACTAATCCCGTCATTTTCTGAAACTTTGTTAGTATCTCGAACCAACAAAGTAGATCTGCTTTTTCTTCTTCCATGGGAATTCATTTCATCCTCATAATCACTATCTGTGTCCTCCATAGCCCTTTTAGCATTCCTACTGTTGCCTTCATCTTTTCTCTTTGTTTTCAATTCTCTTTCTGTCTTCTTTTGGGCTTGTCTGGCTAATTTACCAAGTATTTCAACAGGTAAAGGGGTAAAGTTGTCACTATCTTCAGCATTTTCTTCCTCTTCCTTTTGAAGTACTTCATAAGCCTTGATTATAGACCAATAAGCAGTTCCAGCAGGATTAGTATATACAGCATCAAGATAGTCTCTGTTCTTTCTTGGCCTATAGTCAATGGTCCAACCAGCACCAAGAAGCATATTCTTAATCTTTTCACGCAGTATTTGCTTTTCAGTGCCACTACCATGCTTAACCATGTCTTTCTTCTTCTTCTTCTTCTTCTTCTTCACTTTCTTAACATTCTCCAGTTTTTTAACAGTTTCCACTCTGCTATTTGATTTTGACTGCATTGCTGTATCACTCTCAGTTACTTCTTTGCTGCTTTTTCGCACCATTGGTGTTGGAGATTTCATCCCACCTTTCTCCTTGCTCTTTTTGGTATCCTCACTCCTGGAACTATGTCCATCTCCAGCATCTCTATGATCACCATTTTTATCCAGCTTTTTCATGTGATGAACTCTAGCCTTGGCTTCTTTTTTATCAGAACTTCTACTCATCTGCTTATTATGATTTACCATTACATTCAAGACACCATTTTCCCCTTGTAGTCTAATAGGTTGGTCTGAAGATGAACGATATTTCTTACTCAACACTGAAAGGGGTAAGTCAAAATCATCATCATCATCATCCATCTCTAAGGGACTTATAGTTCTAGCTTCATAAGTAGGTCTGCTACCACCATTTCCAGATTCCATTTCATCGCCACTTTGCCTATATGAGTTCCATCTATGCTTACCACCATTAGCATCCTTCCTGGTCCTCACATCCTCAAACCCATCATACTCGTCAAACTCAAATACATCTAATCCACTATTTGCCCTTTTCTCGGTCTCAAATTCTTTGTAAACAGCTGAACGTTTACGGAGTTTATGAGTAGTTTCTGATGAGTAATCACTGGACTCTGAATCACTCTCAACAACTCGACGTCTCTTTTTCACCTTTGACGATCCAGACAAATTCCTCGAAGAAGAATCACTAAACCCACTAACCCCTACCACAGTATCTGCAACTTTTTTTTTAAAAACCAAACAGCCAGAAGAGCTTTTCTTCTTTACCCGAGTTCCAGACTGCTTAGATCTGCCCACCTCTTTCATCTCAGCAAGCATAAACCAACAACAAAACCCCCGATTCTATCAAAGCCCACATAACATGAATACGCGCTCAGATCTAGGTGAAGAGGGTTAAAATAATAACCAAATCAACAACCCACAAATTCGAAAGTGAAAAAGCATCCACCGCCGGATTCCGATTAGGCAAAACCCAAATGGGTGCCGAAGGATCAAGAAGTTCGCGTGTTCTGGAGTTCAGCTACAGTTTTCGTTGGTTCAGTAAATCTTAAGGTATACCGTAAATTGTAATCTTCATCAAGTTTAGTACATAAGAAGTTTGCCCAGCACAAAAGGGATTTTTAGATATATCACGTAGGAAGTCCATTTTCAGTTCACCGGAATTTTGAGTTCCCACCAGTTTTACCTTGGGAAATCAGGTAAATTTCCGGACAAGACACGTAAGTTCCTTGATCCAATCGTGCAATATGAAAATGTGAATGGTTTAAAGTTTGTTTTATGCAAGTATAAAATGATCTAGGAGACGATCAAACTAGGGTAACCATAGGAAACGAATACCCATTTTTCGGACCGACACCGTTTTGAAACTGGAATCGCTTTAAGTTCCGACATTGGTTCTAAATTTTGGAACCTATCAAAAATGGTTTTGGTTTCGATTCTTAACTTTTTGGACTCCGTACCCCATGGCCGGTATCTATGTTATTTTTAATACATCTTTCTCATGTTTGGTACCTCATCACAACATGTGGATAGTGAACACCATACCCCTCTTCTTTGCGAGAGGGTGTCGTTGTATAATTATTGTTTGTATTTGTCGGTAGAATATGACATAAAGTAGTGTCGGTAGGATGTAACATAAAGCGTAAGATCCTCCATAGTTTAGGGGTCTAAAATGTAAATATATGTTTGTCGTATTGTAATCATACGATTGCAACAATAATTGTAATCGGCTCTTTCGAGCCTATAAATAGGGTTTTTGCCCATAAGAAATAAACAAGAGATATTTGAGTGTTTAAGATTTGAATTGAATCTTAAAGTTCTTCATCTATTGAAATAGTTGTTCTATTTCTGAATAGCAGATCCCTATCCAAACCTATCCATATAAACATTCATATAATTTAAACAATTCATCCCGACACATCATTCAGGTATAATTCTATCCTAACTTTCTATTAATTTTATCATGTCTTTAATTTTGGTATCAGAGCTAAGTAATGTTATTATTATTATTTTGCATATTCAATCTTTCGTTCAAAAACATGATAATGAATATTCATCGTTTTACATATCTATTCATAAATACTTATATTCAAAAGTCATCGGTATTAAAAATCAATTCACCAACAATTGAAACAATTATCGTAAGAAGGTTTTAATATCATTATAAATATGTACCAAAAAGTTAAATTCACAATTCATCTTTCACAAAAGTTTTCAACTCTCCGTATTATAAATTTAATATCATCACCCTACTATATTAAATTCTAAAAACTTTATATGTAACTTTGAAGAACATTATCATTTTGTTTTTATAAGGTTTAATCATGAGTTTTGTAAGTTTAAATATTAATAAACAATAATTAAAAAAATTTCGTAAACATTAAAACAATGTAAAAAAATTCTATTAAACTTAAAGTTAGATTCTGATATATCGATAATCAATTGTATATCTAACATTGAAGTAATACATATAATAAATAATAGTATAAATTGGAAATAAGAACAAATAAAAAATCTTGAAGATAAAATAACACAACTAATATATTAAATATATCTCAAGAAATAGAAAAATCACTAATAATAACTACTTCGTTAATAAAAAGAAACTAAAGATTTCATTTCTAAAAATATACACAACTTATTAATATGGAAACTTTACAATAAGAAGTAAAAACACTAACTAAATTATTTGCAGCATTAGAAATTTCATCCGAAATTCAAGAAAATAATACAGAAATAGAAAATAATTCAGATAATAATGATGCAGAAGTAATATATGAATTTTCTTCAAATGACGAAAATCCTTATTTAAATCCATATTGAAATTCATAAAACAATTTTGGATTAAAACGAAAACAATCATATGTTGAAGATGATTATCAAAGTCAATATATTTATGGACCACCTTCATTAGAAGAAAATTTTTTATATAGACAATGAATTATTAAAAATAAACAAAACAAATGGGAAAAAATATCTCCACAATACATACCCAAATTATTTACTTTTCCAACAAATTTAGATATTCTTTTTATTGACTGTGGTCAAAATCCTGAAGCAAAAATTCAATAATGGAGTAATAAAATTGGAGTACAAATTCAGTTAACTGAAGAATTAAGAAATTTACACCCAACACATTTTCTTAATTATATCATTCATAAATACAAGGTAATGCATATCGTTTTCTCTCATCTCTTGACGAAACTGAAACAATGATGATAGCTACTACTGATGTATGGAAACATTTAAAAATATATTAAGTCGTCTTATTTAGGAATTCATAGGAAAACAAATTGAAGATAAAGTATCACAGGAAGCTTTTCAATTAGAATCATTATGACATTTAACAAATCTACGAATCTGTAATATGTGTTATCTAGACTCGTTTATATGCGAATATTCTGAACATTATTTTAATTTAGATTCCACTAGAAAAAAGGTAGCATTAGATATGTTTATCAAAAATTATCATCGTTAGTAAGCCAAAGTGTAATAAAAGATTTTCAAGAAGCCTTACAACAAAGTAAAATTGCAGACACTCGAGGAGCACGAATAAGTATACTAAAAGCATGGATGCAAAAAAGATGTTTAGAACAATAAACAACACAAGATGCAAAAATTGATTTATGTTGTGAAGCCCTTTCTAATAAAGTCAATCAATATGGTTGTAAAGATAATAAAAGACACCGGTATAAAAATACAATCTGGAAAAAACAAACTTATAAACCTAAATATAAACAATATTATAAATAAGGAGAAAGAAAATATTTTCGAAATAGAAAACAATATAAACAAAAAAATCAATCTAAAACAAATTATTGTCCATCGAATAAAAAAGATTGTAAATGTTGGATATGTCAAGAAGACGGACACAAAGCCTATGAATGCCCAAAAAAGTCTAAAAAGGAAAAAGAAACAAATCTATTAAAAATTGCATATGATCTAGGATATGAACTTATAGAAGATTCATATATAGATTCAGACTTAGATATTTATGCCTATACAACTGATTCTGATTCAGATGCAGATAAATAATCCTATGGAGAAAGTATTATTGGAATTAGAACGTAAGGGAAACCTTATATCTAACCCATATACATTGAAAAAGCATGCAGTGGTATGAAAATACCATCAAAAAGCATACAATAATAAAGTATATAGTGATATAAATATATCACCAAATCATACATTGATATGAAAATCCTCATATCATCATTTGAAGTATTAAAAGCAAACAGATATAAGTAATCATTCAAGTACCCAAAAGGCGCAAGTATTCAAACAGTAGACGTATTGACATGGAAGTAATCATAAAGCAAATACAACACCAGCTCAAATAGAAGCAGGAGCAAAAAGCATCATTAATTAGACAACTTGAAGTAATCAATCGTGAAGAAGAGCAACTATAGAAGACACTACAAATTCTATCATCTTATTCAGTATCTAAAGAAGAGGCAGCTAGCAGCTCAACAACAAAGCAACCAAAAGAAGACATTCAAGAAATATCATCTGATGATAGTCAGTCACCCACAATACATAAAACAGAAAAACAACCTATGACACCAAACCAAGAAGAATATCCACCACTTCAAGCCGATCATAAAAACATAAAGAAATGGTACATGATTTTCAATGGAGAAAACAAAGGAATATATGACAATTGGGGAAT